GTACCCCAAGGGAGGGAGTGAGGAGGATGGTGCTGGCCTCTTTTCACTGGTGGCCACTGACAGAACTAGAGGTAATGGCCACAAACTGAAGCACCAAAAGTTCCACAGGAACTTAAGGAAAAATTTTTTAACAGTGAGGGTGACAGAGCGCTGGAACAGGCTGCCCAGAGAGGTTGTGGAGTCTCCTTCTCTGGAGATCTTCAAACCCTGCTTGGACGCAGTCCTGTGCCACGTGCTCTAGGTGACCCTGTGTGTGCAGGGGGGTTGGACTAGATGATCTCTAGAGGTCCCTTCCAACCCTAAGCATTCTATGATTCTATGACTTCTTCCTTCCTATAGAAGGAGGCTCAAAGTGAGGGTGACCTTCACCCGTGGTTGACTTGGGTGGCACTGTAGAAGGCCAGGAGGGCTTGGGAGAGACACATGGTCACCTACAGACCATACTCACAGTGTCCCACACAGGGACAGGGCTCCGAGATGCTTAGGAGGTGCCAGCTGCCATGTTCAGGCTGTCCTGCATCCTCCTGGGCTGTTCCTGGGCAGGGTACTAAAGAAATTGCAGCCTTGCTCAGAAGCTTCTTCAGAAACTCCAGCTGAACCATCCTGATTGATACCACCTGAACGTCTGCTGATCCACCAAAAAAATCCCTAAAACGGTTAGTTTGAGAAAACAGTGTGACCCCTGCTCAACTTCAGGGATATCGGGTCCAAAACAAGGAGAAAAGCTTCTGAAGAGATGGAATTGCTCATGAAGCATTGCTGACCTCCTCCTATGTGTCGCAGGGCTATCGTCCCAAGTATACAAGAAGATTTCTAGCACAAGGAACCCATCCATGGATTACACTTGCGAGAATCGATGGAATTGCTGTGAGAACCATGACTTTCTGGACAGAGCAGGTTTTGCAACAGGAGCACGACATGGCTGTTGGCAACAGTTCAGAAAATATAACAGTAGTTGCTTTGCCACACACACACACACACACACACACACACACAAAAGCCTAGAGACTGATACACACCTTAGGTTTGAACAGGAAGGTGCAATGTGTAGATGAAGTTCTAACAAAAAAATAAAAATATAAAGCAACTTTCATTCACTTCAGGACTAGTCTGAGACAACAAAAAATCTTTAGAAATATAGAGAGGCCTTTTAGAGGAATAACCCCAGGCATGGTATCCAAGCAAAAAAAATGAATAAAATAAAATTTTAAAAAAAGGGAAGAAAGCTGCTGGCATAAAACAGTTCTAGTGCCTGGATGCTGGAGCATCGCAATCCCAATACGTACACAAACCATCTACTTGGATAAATACATAAAACCATTTATGTGCTTTTGAATTTAGGGAATGCAAACCTGGAAAGCAGCGCAATCCCTGCAGTTCTCACTATCTTTCAGAGCCGCATTGCAAACCCTCTGCCTTCCTTGGGAGCAGAGCCCGTCCTGCTGCCAGAGGATGCTCATGCTGCTATGGGATGGGAAGGAAGTGCATGGATTTTCCAGAGCACCTGCGTTTCCCAACAATGGATACTCTTTTTGCCAGGGCTAAGAGAAGATGCAAACAAGCTAGAGGTCAAATCCCAGGCTTTTCTCCCTCTAAAACATTCGCAGAGCTTTATGCGGCTGTGCAAACCTGCATGCTTGCAGCAAATATTTCCATGAAGGCCTGAATTCCTACTGACCTCACGCATTTGCCACCAACCGTGGGTAGATTTGAATAAGCTGCTAAGCAAAGACAGCTTCCAGGTTACAAAATAGGAGTAGATTTGTGAAACTAAGCAAAAAAAAAAAAAAAAAAAAAGAAAAAAAAGACTTACCAGCTCACTTGAAGAATGGCTCTACTACTCCCAGACCCCAGAATAAACAACCCCCCTAAAATAAACCTAAACCCAGTCTCCTGTAAACAAAACAGATCCAAGGCTCAATTACTTCTTTCCAGCATTTTATGAATGGAACAGTTGAAAATCTGCCAACTTCCATAATTCATTTCTATAACACAGTTGGGAACTTTACACTTTTGCAGTCGTATAAAAGAGGAGGGAAAAAAAAAAAAAACTTTCCAAAGGTCTTGAATTGGGAAAAAAAATCAGTTGTCCTAAATCTGTATGTCCACTGTTCAGATGCCTCCGCCCAAAGCAGAAAATGTTAAGTTTGGTGAACAAGTGCAACGTAGGGGAGAGCAACCGTTGTTGCACAGCTAAGAGCAGCATGAGAGCTCCCAGCTTCACCTGGGCAGTGAAAAGTGCTAATTAGTTATGAAGAAAAAGCCCTTAAAAAACCCCCCCCCCCCCAAAAAAAAAAAAAAAAAGGTCTTTTATGGTTAAAGCTTTGCCAAAGACCTGCTGAAGAGGCAGCAGAAGAGAATTAACTCATGCATCCAGGTTATAACCTCTGTTCAGGCTGCTAGATAAAATTACAGACCGGTGTTCCCTTTATTCACCTTTTCCAAAGCAAAAACAACACTATCAACATCAATCAATGCTCTAGCCATCATGTCGGAGCCAGCTATATGCTAATTATCTTCAGAAAAGAGAATTGCACACTTTTAGTCGAGTGGTTATAATACAAAACTTTTGCAATGAAGGAAAACTCACAGGAGCAAAGTTTTAAAAGGGCCATGGAAAGGTTTGGAGAAAAAACACACAGTTGTGTGAGAGCTCACTTTAACAGTCATGCTGCACAGACTGTATTCCCCAACACCAAAGGAGGCAGGAGGGGAGCACAGCGATTCCATTTGGCTGCTTGTCCACGGGTGAGTTCTCATCCCACTTTTGCCCATAACTGGTACAATGCTGTGGCATCACCCCAAGCCCAAAATAACATCTCCTTGGACAACTGGACAACTTTCTCTCTATTATCACTGCAGAGGGATCCAAGACAGCAAACGAATTTGCCGCTTTCATTTCTCTCGCTGCTGGTGGCTTTTTTGGTAAGACCTGCTCATGCAACAGGCTCCTTGTAGCTGGTTTTGCAACGTTGCACTTCTACACGACAGCAGCTGCAGTGAGCAAAGTGGAGCCGGGGCACGTGGCCCCATGGGGTGCCAGGAGCCCAAACATGCTCCTCAGTCTGAGCGGGCGGCCACGCTGGCAGCACCGCAGGGAGGCGGCCCTTGACTTGGGGGCGTTTTAATCTGCAAGCTGTAAACATTACGGACCCGTAGCAGTGACAGCTACGTCTTCCTGGAGTGGCTAAGGAAGGGGGGTGAGGAGTCAAGTGGCTCCAGGAAGCCATTTATCTGTAATATTGTTCTGTCCCTCCGGGATTCAGCACCTCTGTCCCCTTCCTCTCTGCGTGGTGGGTCCGGAGCGGTCACCCTGGTGCCAATACTTAGTAGGAATTACCTAGTTGCATGCAAGGAATAAATGCAAGGATTTATGCGAGGATTTATATGCTGCACTCAAATCTTATTTTGATTCTTTGATTTAAGCATAACCATAGAAGCGGTAACATGTCGAATCACAAAACTGAGAGATTATATCCCATTACCTAGTTCATCTGTCAACCAGGGCAGAAATGTCCTGAGGAATATTTTTCTCGATCTACCATATGCCATGAAAGCTTAATTTAGATGATTAATCCAAAGAAGACACCTAAATCCTAAAAGTGGAAGAGCAAAAGGATCAACTTAATTGAAACATGGCTGCACTGTGTTTCTGTTCTTTACCTCGTTTTCAATTGCTCATAAGCTCTCCAAAACTTGCAGCTTCTAGGATTAAATTTTAGAATTTAACCTCAGCCACATTATATTGGAAGAAAAAAAAGGAGGGAAATGAGGAAAAAAATCTATTAAAATAGAATTAAAGAAACGAATAAATCAATTTTTAATTGAACTTTCTTTTTTAGCCACCTTGCCTGTTGCAACAGCAAATGAATGCACAGGGTGGAAATAGCTCTTATCAGAGGAGAGAAAAAAAATGTCAGAGCATTTGAGCATAATTTTACTTTGCCTGAAATTGCAAGATAGTTGGAACAACGTCATGCACGTGCAGCACGCTTGGCACCAGCCTTTTCACTATACTAACAACATATGCAGCTACGTGAGGAAGGCTGCGCCACACACGCAAAGCAGACTGAGTCATGGCAAAAAATGTCCTAAAAATTCAGCGTCCATAGAGTGGCTTTGGAGTTGATATTTGGAGCTCTGTCTCTGCGCCCCCATGGACATGTTGTGGATGGGGAGTTCAGGGGCTGCTCAGCCAGTCTGCAGAGGGAAACTCATCCACACTCTCTTTCCAAAGATGGGAAACCCTGGATTGCCTTCCAAGGTTAACGTGGAATTAAGGTTTGCTGAATAGGAGGGGTTTGCAGAAATGCACACACAGAAAACGTCGTTTAGCAGCGTTGGAGCTCCAGCACCATGGGGAGCTGCTTTTAATGCTTGGGAAGTTCCACAGTCTTCTCATCTGAGGAAAGTCTTCTCTCTTCCTCAGTGTTTTCCTTCAACCTTGCATGCTTTTTCCTTCTTGCATCAGCTTCCTTAAACCAACATCTCATGAAATTACCCAATTTCATGTGGCTGGTGATGATACCCAGGACTGTTCCATGCTACATTTTGTCTGTGTAAAGTTTAAACTCTTCTGCTCAAAGTCTCTAGGCTAATTCCCATGGAATAAGAGGATTCCCATTCATTCCCAGGGGGTAATAGAATGGTCATAGCTCTATATGTGCCACTGAATACATAAAATTTAAGGAATATGATGTATATATATGTATATATATATGGTATAAATACTTGAGGAATATGTTTTTTTTTTCTTAACTCCACAGCCAAATCAATGCCAGATAAAGTAGGAGTCTTTGCATGGTCTGCAGCATCTCAAGAACTTCCATGGAGAAATCAGATGCGGCTGCTATATTCACTATTTCACATTACAATGAAAGGCCAAGACTGGACTTCCATCTGCATGTAAAGAAATATTTGATTCTCCCCTCTTGGTACCTTGTGTTGCTGTCAGTAACTGGAGGCTGCATCTTGTCTCCTGAGCCCTCTCCTCCATGACCTGGTAGAACATCAGAGCCTGCATTTCTCACTGCTGGGGGAACAGCAGGAAAATGCCACCACCTATCTCTTTTCCGCCCCTCAAACTATGTTGCTAAGGCTGCTTTTCTTTGCAAGGTAGACCCTGCATGTGAGATGCTTGTCCCTTCTCATACTGCTGGTGCTATGGTACAGCACCACCACACATCTTGTCAACGAAGGAGGCAACCCTTGCAAAGGACTCCCCTTCGGTCAGGATGCAAAAATATTTTTCTGCTCCCTACAGGGTGCACAAAGAACTGCATTTTTTCTTTTTCTTTTTTTTTTTTTAATAAAAACCTCATTTTGATATCTGGATATTTCCATACAACACATTTTACAGTTGGTATGTTGGCTGTTCAGTTCCAAATGTTACCTAGGAGTTGAGAGTCAACCAGCCTCCATGAGACAACTGCCACTGCTTGCTCCTTCTGCTTTACTATCCTTTTTATTTTAAACATAACTATGAATTTTAAGCACACATAACTTTCTTATTTCCTAGGCAGCCGGCACATTCAGAAAACTTGCTAATGGACCCTCCACCTTCTCCCTATTTTGCTCAGAGCCCAGATCAGCTCCTACTCAGGTTCAAAAGAATTCTTAAGTTTACAACAGTCATAGTTTCCTGATGGACTAATCCTGGGTCAGAAAGAAAGAAGGAAAAAAAAAACACCTTTAATAAATGTTGTTATAGGACACTATTCCACCTTCTAAAATCTCTGCGTGTAACTGCATGAATTCTCATCTGGTGCCTTAATGGGAAGCAGTTAATTATAATCCACAGGCTGCCACAGGCAAGGCTGGAGCATTAATCAGCCCGGCCGGTTCCAGGGCTGTAGCTGGGGGTTCAGTCCTGCACTGCAGCCAGCGGGGCCAAAGCAGGTGGCTGCAGAGGTGAGATCACTCCCAAAAAAATGCGTGGGTCACACCACCTGTGGCAGGAAAAGCTCTCGTGCTACCCGTTTCATTCCTCCAAGAGTGGTTTATTTTGCTTTTTATGTTTCTCTTGGTGTGAAGAATTAGCCTAAGAACATGCATATCTCCCTGCTGAGGAGACAGCACTTTGTCATCTGAACTTTTTAAGCTTTTTTCCCTGTTAAAACTGGTTTTGGATGACCAAAATGCTATGCAGGCTTCTGTGCAGAGCTGACCTGTCTGGCTATATTATCAAATATCTCTTCCCAAGTAATGCCAGTAACTGCAGAAGGTGTTCTCATTCCGGCGTAATTATCCTGTTTTGTGAAGAGGGCAATTACTCTGTAACAAAGCCACTGAACCCAAATTGCAGTTTCCAGAAGGGAACTGGAAGATTTTTCGAAGGGTGGTGGAGGGAGAGATACTAAACCTCCGTGTCCATATTCGCCTCCCCATCGAAGCGCAGCTTGGGACTAGGAGTGTCCTGCGCCAGCCCACCCTTCGGCTTCCTCTTGGCCGGGGCAGCTCATTCCTGAGCTGCAGGATCATGCTGAATGAAGTTGCTCGGCTGCTTGTGCAATACCCCGTTCTGCTCTGTTCTTTCATTGCTGGATGAGAGCCGCCGCTCCAGATTCCAGAAAGATGTGCAAAACCCTCCGTGCAAGCAGCAAGTAGATTCCCTGGAAGCGGATTCTCTAGAGAGCTTGGAGCAAATTGCTAGTAGAATGTAAAGGGGGGCGGCTAAAATACATCATACTTTGGATTTTCAGAAAAATCCCCAGCATAACGCTGAGGTCAATGAAGGCCCCAGCCCTACATGTAAGGCTTGCATCCACTGGATCTGCAGTTATACAATTAAATTATTATCAGATGTTTCTCCACATTAGTCCATCATCAGCCAGTTGTTTACCTTGAGGAAAATGAAGATACTGCACAAGGCCCAAAGGGAGAAACACGGTGAAACCGTGTGGAACTTCTCTTGATGGTAGCAACGGTCTTTTGGGGACCATGACAGCTTCACTGTTTTTGTCCACATGTAAAGCAGGTGTGAATTTGAATGCTGGCACCTACGGGTGGCACCTCCTGGGCCTTGACCATCAGTAGCTTCTCATTTATAGACACCAAGGATCTCACACTGGAGCACAGACAGAATTTATCAGCTTGCTGATACTGGCTGGCTTCAGCATCATCGTGTTAAGGGAGGAAGGATCCAACACTGCAACAGAGCCTAAGTGAGCTAAGGCAGCTCTCAACATTTCTATAGCGATGCTTTCTTCAAAATGCAAAAATCACTCTAAGTGTACATAAATATATACATAAGGCATATATATGCATTATATATATGTGTGTATATATATACATACACATATATATACACACACACATATATGCATATATATATATATAAAAAATATCAATGACTTATTTCTCTGACATATACTAAGTTAAAAAAACCCCCCCCGCAAAACAAATCTTAATTTTCCCTCTTCTAGCTTAGCAAATTTCCATCAAGAAACGATTAAATACTGGTAACATAGGGATATGTAGGAATCATTTGACGTGTTCGTGCAAAGAGGCGTGCGGCCCGAGTTGCCAGCGAGCATCCTGCGAGCAATTTCCCTCCCCAATAAGCGAGTGCACCGCAGGCCGCGGAGGCTCTTGCGAGGAGCCAGCCTGTCTCGGCCTTATCGGTGCTGCGCCGCGCGGCACCAGGAGCACTGGAGCTGCTGGGCTCCTGTGGGACCAGGGCGTCACATCCTGCTGCCCTTTAAGCTCGCTGTGAGCGTGCGGCCACAAAAAACTTTGCAGTTTTGCGATGTTTTAATGCAATTCGAAGTGAAGTGCTAGGAGTGACTTTGTACTAAGGCATTTAAAATCCCCCTTCCATGCCATTTTAACAGGGAAAATCCAACTCCAGAAGAATAAATCACCTGCGCACAGATATATTTTGGCAAGAGGCAGACAAGCAGGGATAGATTTTCACAAGGAAGTCTTGCAAAGTCAGACACCGCAATTCGACAATTCCCGCTTTTAAACTAAGAGGGATTTGTCCAAAAAAACTATCTTAAAAAATACCCTCACTAATTTTACGCCGTGCTAACACCCAATATCAGCTCTAATCGCAAAGTGGCAAATGTGCCTGCGTGCAAGCTCAGCTGTGCTTTCCTTGTGGCACTTAAATGCCATCTTCTAATGCTGAGTTAATCTGGCTGTTGGATCCCTTTTATATCATTACAAACTGAGTCACAACTCGAACATTTTCGCAGGAAAGTCAAGTAGCTTTGACACGCAACAATGAAAACTTTTAAAAGGCTAAAGCTTGAGCTTGTAAAGATAAATACATAAATAATGCTGCCTGATGACACCTGAAGGGAAGATAAAAGGAGAAAATAGCTCAAATAATAACTTCAGGCCCTTCATTACAAAAATCCGGGGTAACTTTTCAAGTGGCTTGGAGGCTTGTAATAGCAAGGGTGCCAGCACTTGATTAGCTACCCCGCACACCCAGATGTCCTCGCGCCAGGGAGAAAGCGCTGCTGGTTCAAGGGCTCACTGGAAGCAGAATTGCACTAAAAAACAAATTTGTAAACAAACAAACAAACAAACAAACAAACAAAAAAAACAAAAAGAGGTTGGGGAAGCTAGGGAAATATTCTGCTTATCCTGCACCAGTGTGACTGGATTCATTTTTATTGCATCTTCAGTTTTTCTGGCAAGCTCGGGATAGAGATTGATGGATAGAGATTGGTGGATTGAGAACTGGCTGGATGGCAGAGCCCAGAGGGTGGTGATAAATGGGGCCGAGTCTG